TTTTGTTTCCTTGGTTAGTTCCTTTCAGACTCAGAATAAGTGGTATGTCTCTAACTAGGACATTCAGGGTAAATGCAAAAGGAATGTGCAATTTTGAGGGGGAAAGATCTGTTCCTAAATTTAAACCAAGAGTGGTAAGTTCAATTTAAGTGTTTGGATGTGAGAACTAGTCGAGGAGTTACAGAGTATGTATTTCACATCTGAGCTTTTGAGGAGAGCAGTTTACAAACCCAACCTACTCTCCCTTTGGCAACTTATTGGAGGAATATAGTCATTTTTAAAGTTCACCAGCTCCCTGTTAGAGCCAGTAGTACTTATTTTTAAAGTGATGTTTTTCATTGACACTTGCAAGAAAGAATCAATTTTTTTTGTCCCTTCCCACACGTTTTAATAGACTTCAAAAATAGAATGGTGGAAGAACTGAATAGCGAAAGAATTATAAGCACAAAAAGTACCAATAGAAAAATAAGAATAGAATAACGAGAATAAAGGAGGAAGTTACTACTCTTTGTTCTCAACTTTGCATTTATTTGATACATCACCATATGTAAAGTTTTGTACAGGATGTTGCAGAACCAAAAAAAGGACAAATGAATAGATAGAATTGGGTGTTGTGTAATTAGGGAGTTGACATTGTAATTAGGAAAGATATGCATACACGTGTACTGACAGTGGTTAGAGCCCGAGTGAGAGCTATAATCAGGTGAAAATGATTATGAGAGCAAAGAAAAGAGGAAGATTAGGTTTCTGGGTGGGGGGCGGCAGCCTTCTTGGATGAGGTGATCTGAATTAAAGCTTTTGAATGACTCGTATTTTCGTAGGTGTCTAGGTGTGGGGAGGGAACTCCCAGTCCAAGATAAGGGCCTGAACAAAGACTTGACTGTAAATGCCTGTGATAGGTGTGGGGACAGTGAGTTATAGTTATATAATTGGGACAGGCTTGTAAGCAATGTTGGATGGCCCTTTGAATGCCACACTGAAAACCTTTTCATAATGAAAATAAATAAATGAGGCTAGTTATCTGTTAAGAATGGATGCAATTGAATCTATAAACAATAAAAGATGTCTGCTTTTGATCTCTACAAACATTCCTATTAGAGATTTTTATTTTCTATGCTTGGATCTGACTCCCTCTTGGTTTACTGTAATATATGGCTTTGGAAACCAGCAAGGGATTGGGAAAAGCCAGAGAAAAGGATATTACCGATATAAACTATTCATAAACAACTGGTAGTTAAAAGTATGCGATAGAAATGTTGGGAAAATAGTGTGAAAAGGAAAGAGTTGACATACAGTGTTTATCTTCAGTTTTGAGGTATCTGTTGAAAACATAGTTCATTTTCTTTCCTGCCAGTGACCCACTTATCCATTTTCCAATTCAGATTAGTGTGTGCTGTATACAACATGTGTTGGTGCCAGCACTTGTATTGTAATCCTAAGGTATCTAGTGTGTGTGTAACTGGTTTATTGATTTAAAAGGACACTGTTGAAGGGACAAGGAGATCATTAGTGGCTTTGCATAAATCTCATTTTAGGGTCTTATTGCCAATTCTTAGGCCATACACATATTTGTGCGTGTGCCTCTAAATATACACCTATATTCTTTATCTGACTCACATACCATAACATTCACCCTGTTAATGTATACAATTCAGTGATTTTTAGTATATTCACAAAGTTGTGCAACCATCACCCACTGTCTAATTCCAGAATATTTTTGTCAACCCCTTCTCCCCCCAAAAGAATCCCTGTATCCATTAGCAGTCACTCCCTATTTACCTCTCCCCTCCCATTTTCTGGAACCACGAATCTACTTTCTGTCAATGGATTTGCCTATTCTGAACGTTAGTGTCTGACTTCTTTTACTTAGTATAATATTTTTGAGATTCATCTATGTTGTTGCATGTATCAGTGCCTCATTTTTATGGCTGATTAATCTTCCACTGTATGGATACACCACTTTTTTTTAAAGATTTTATTTATTTATTCATGATAGAGAGAGAGGCAGAAGCAGGCTCCATGTGGGGAGCCTGACGTGGGACTCGATCCCAGGACTCCAGGATCACATGCTGGGCCAAAGGCAGGCGCTAAACCGCTGAGCCACCCAGGGATCCCCGGATACACCACATTTTTTAAAATATTTTTATTTATTTGAGAGAGAGTGTGTGTGTCTGGGAGCAAGAGCCAGGGAAGGAGCAGAGGAAGAGGGAGAAGCAGGCCCCCCACTGAGCAGGAGCCCAATGAAGGACTCAGTCCCAGGACCCTGAGATCATGACCTGAGCTGAAGGCAGACATTCATCCAGCTGAGCCACCCAGTCACCCTGTATATGCCACATTTTGTTGACCATTCAGTTGATGGACATTTGAGTGGTTTCTACTTTTTGGCTATTATGAATAATGCTGTTATGAACATATATGTACAAGTTTTTGTGTGGATGTATGTTTTCATTTCTCTTAGGTATCTACCTAAGAGAGGAATTGCTGGGTCATATGATAACTTTATGTTTAACTTTTTGAGGAACTGCCAGGCTATTTTCCATTATCATTGCACTATTGCATCTTTTAAAAAAAGATTTATTTATTTGGGAGAGAGAGATTGTGTGCCCACGCAAGTTGGGGGGGGGGCAGAGAGAGAGAGAGAATCTTCAAGCAGACTCCCCACTGAGCATGGACTCCTATGTGGGGCTCATTCACGACCCATGAGATTATGACATGAGCTGAAACTAAGAGTCTGATGTTCAGTTGACTGAGCCATTCAGGTGCCCCCTTGCAGACTTTAATGTAAATTCTTGTAGGCTTTTACATGATGTGATTGTGGTATGCATGCTGTTTTATCACTCAACAATAGCATATTTCTACAGTCCCACCTTTCCATGTTTCCTCAGGGAGTGCAAAACATCCCCAGTTAGGCATTTAGGGCATTTGCTCTACTGTTTGCATTTTTGCAGTTTGATTGATTGATTGATTTTTCTTTTTGGGACAATTTTAGAATAGTATGGGGATGTATTTTTGCTCTAGTTTAGATAATTTTTTTTAAGGTTTTATTTATTTATTCATGAGAGACACAGAGAGAGACAGAGACACTGGCAGGGGGAGAAGCACGCTCCCCAGCCTGATGTGGGACTGGATCCAGGGACTCCAGGATCACGCCCTGAGCCAAAGGCAGACACTCCACCCCTGAGCCACCAGGCGTCCCTATAGTTTAGATAATTAATAATTTGGGGAAAAGTATGAGCATTTTTGTGATGGTGTAATGTGCTTCCACGAAACTGAATCTATCTATTTTAAAGATTTTATTTATTCATGAGAGACAGAGAGAGGCAGAGACATCGGGAGAGGAAGAAGCAGGCTCCTCGCAGGGAGCCCGATGTGGGACTCCATCCTGGGTCTCCAGGATCACACCCTGGACTGAAAGCAGACGCTCAACCGCTGAGCCACCCAGGCATCCCAACTGAATCTATCTATTTATTTTTAAAGATTTTATTTATTCATGAGAGACAGAGGCAGAGACACAGGCAGAGGGAGAAGCAGGCTCCCTGTGGGGAGCCCAATGAGGGACTTGATACCAGGATCCCAGGATCATGACCTGAGCCCAAGGCAGACACTCAACCACTGAGCCACCCAGGTGTCCTGAAACTGAATGTTTTAAGACAGCATGTTTCTTTTGTTTTAGTTTTTTTTAGATTTTATTTTCTTTTTCTAAGTAATCTCTACACCCAGCATGGAACTCCAGCTCACAACCCCAAGATCAAGAATCTCATTCTGCATCGACTGAGCCAGCCAGGTGCCCCCAAGTATGTTTCATTTTTATTAGACATAATAGGCATGCAAATTTCATCATTATTACCTCTGCACTTAGAGGTATGTACAGGGTGCTTTAGGAATGTGGGGGAAGGGACGTCAGTGGGAGATGAGGTCTAGCTGCATCTACAGGGGTGAGCAGGAGTTAGCCAGGTAGCAAGAGGAAAGGATCAAAAGGAGGTGAAGTATATAACCACAGAGTGACTATCTTACTCCAAGGTCACCTGCAAGGCAGAAAAGGCACCATTTTCAATCCCAAAGCCAGCTGGAAGGGATCATAAGGGCATCCACTGAAGCTCTACCTGAGGCCTTCCTCTTTCCTCGCCTCAGCCATTTACCTTTCCAGACTTCATATCTGATCAGGTTCCCTGCTGCTGAAGCTATTTCAGTGCTCTCATCTTTCCAGGGGTGTAGGCAGAAACCCTGCCCATGCGTCTCAGGCCCTGCCTGCTCCAGGGCCACTCCCTCCGGGCCTGTGTATAGCACTCCTCCCTCTCTGGGCTCCCGGTTCGCAGGCCTGCCTGGGGTTCTCCCTGATGTTGGGCTGCCTTCATCACTTCCTGGCCCCGCCCTCCTCTGCTTTTCTCAGGGTTTTCTCCTCCTGTTGCTGAGCTTAGCCTGTGATCAAACTGACCTACCCTGGGTCAAATCCCGCTACCATGGAAGCAGATCTTGGTGAGGCTGCTCTCTATGGACAGCATGCAGCTAAAATCATCATTCCACAAAAATGCCCTTTGTTTAAAAAAGATGTGTGTTGGGAGTAAAACCTTTGGCTTAGACTAAGAGGGGCTAGCGCTCTAGCCCAGCTTCCCACATAATCCGTCACTCACTTGAATTTGGTCTCTAGGGCCAGGATCCTTTGGCTTCCTCATGTCTGCCTACATTATCTTCTTATTTGTTCTGCTAAAGATTCTTACTGAAATTTGACTTAAGAAATGGTCATGAAAGAAACCTTTCCTTAAAACTGCCAGTAAAGGGCAGCCCCAGTGACTCAGCGGTTTAGCCCCGCCTTCAGCCCAGGGCGTGATCCTGGAGACCTGGGATCGAGTCCCAAGTCAGGCTCCTTGCATGGAGCCTGTTTCTACCTCTGCCTGTGTCTCTGCTTCTCTCTGTGTGTGTGTCTCTCATGAATAAATAAATAAATAAAAATTTAAAACAAAACTGCCAGTAAAGACTTCTTCATGTTGTTCATTCCGCAGAAACTTCCTACACTCCTATTATGAGCCTGGCACTGTGGTGAAAAGCTGTTCCCTCTCATCCGTGACCAAGTGAATCTTCCCAACAGCCCTGGGAGGTAGGTACTGTTGTTGCCATTGTCTTGTGAGCTTTGGAATGTCAAGTAGCTTGTCCAGGGGTGTGTGCTCTTGGCCTTTGGCAAGAACCATTCTCCTTTCTGACAGCAGGCTACTCTTTTGTGGCAAGAAAGTTTTCACCTCTACCTTGGCTGCCCAGAAGCTTCACGACACAGCGCTGCTTTAGCCTTAGTCTAGCTTTTCCTGTGTTGCATTGGTGTCCATCCCTCTCGTGACCCTTCTTTTTTCTTGTTTGTGTTAGCTCTATTTAATTCTTTGGAATAGGATTATTCTAAGCCACTCAACATTCGGGCAAATTTTGAAGAATGAGTGGCATATTTTATACTTTTTTTTTCTAAAAAAATTTTTACAGTTGTCTGAGTGTGAAACTTAGAAGAGTGGTGAATGGGAAGAAATCAGAGAGAGGGACAAACCATGAAAGACTTTGAACTCTGGGAAACAAACTGAGGGTTGCTGGGGGGGAGATGGATGGGGGGAAATGGGCTAACTGGGTGATGGACATTAAGGAGGGCATGTGATGTGATGAGCACTTGGTGTTACACACAACTGATAAATCTGCACACTACATCTGAAACTAAGTGTGTACTTTATGTTGGCTAATTGAATTTAAATTTGAAAAAAGGGTGGGCAGGTGAAAAACTTGAAAAAATAGTGATTTAAAATGTAGTATTTGATATTTGATTCTAGGATTTTTTTTTTAAGGCTGAGAAAGGTCATGGAAAGCTTTTTGGTATGGTTTTCCTTTTATTCATTTATTTATTGGTTTTCCTTTTAAATTAAGAATCTAGGTGCTAATAGAAGTCAGATATTCATTCACATTTTAATTTTTATTTTTACCCTTAAAACTCTTGAGAACAAATTGAAAGTACATTGCTAAGGTGAGCTTTGTAACTTTTTCTTTTCAGGTAATGATGCTGCTTGAACTGAACAATTAAGGTAACATTTATGACCTATGTAATATGCTTTTCTTATTCAGGTTTCTTTATCAAATTTAGCTGAATTGTTAAAGTCATGTTTTTAACCTTGGTGAAGATTATTATTGCCTGTGGGCAATCACTCCAAACTGCAGAGTATAAAAGACTTTACATTATATTTTAATGTAAGTTCTGAAAGTAACATAACAGGGATACCTTTGTTCACTCAACTTCTACTAAAGTTTCAAAGGGTTTTACTATTTTTAGAAAAGAAAAAGTATTTTTAATGTCTCTGAGCCAGTTAGTGGTTATGTTAATGTATAGACTGCTTCAAGCTAGCTTTTGTTGGAGTCCATGGGAAATAAGATGGCTTATATAATTATCTGTATCACCATGTATGTTTATATACAACTCTATAGTAAGAATCAGAGAAATGTTTATATATATAAATTAGTTGTTTAATCAAATGCCAGCATACTCGCAAATAGGATATCTGTGAAGCCCTAGATTATAGAAGGGAAATGCAAAAAAAAAAAATTGTACCTCACTTCCTGATGCCCGGGTCTAGCATACCTCAAATTTGTTTAATCAGAATAATGGCACCAATTAGGAAATCCCACACTATTATGAAAAAAGAAAAGAGCTGTGTCAAAGTGTCCTAATAAAATTATAAATGACAAATCTCAAGGCATGTCTAACACTTAACTTGGTAGATGTGTGCAACCAGTCATCTGGGTGGAGGTTATTAGATTGCATAATCTGCTTTATAATTTGATGTGAAAATCCTAACAGTTCAATGCTCTGCAGTAAAACTTTATGTCTGGTAAGGTAATTAGAGACTTATTCAAATACTAGAATAGATGGTATACTAGAATCACACACATCTCTTACATCCTCATAGCACAGCATGGAACTTTTGTGTTTATATATCTTGAAAATCTTGTGAAAAGAAAAATCTTGGAATGGGGGCTGCTGGGAAAGGTTCCCAGTGTTGGTGAGACCATGTTGATTGGTTCTGAGGGCTCAGCAGTTAAGTGGAGTAGGATCCCCAGCAGAGGAAACCGCATGTGCCAGGGTGAGGGCAAGTCGAAAATGAAGAGCAGGGAATCCCTGGGTGGCTCAGTGGTTTAGCGCCTGCCTTTGGCCCAGGGCGCGATTCTGGAGTCCTGGAATCGAGTCCCACGTCAGGCTCCCAGCATGGAGCCTGCTTTTCCATCCTCCTGTGTCTCTGCCTCTCTCTATGTCTGTCATAAATAAATAAATAAATCTTTAAAAAAAAAAGAAAGAAAATGAAGAGCAGGGCTAGGTGTCTTGTCTTAGAAGTTGGATTTAGACCTGAATCTCTGGAGAACCACTGAAGAGAGTTAAGGATAGGGCATTAGACCAGTGGTGTCCTCGTATCAGAATAGCTGGTGTACATTTTTGGTTTTGTTAGTCTTTTTTTTTCTGTAAATTGAAATTGTTTAAGCAAGATTGCAAAGAGTTCAAGGAACCGACTTATCAAGTTGTTACCTATGTCAGGAAATTAAAGGGGCTTGAGATTGTTTCAGTTTCTTCTCTAACATGAATTTAGTTTGGACATTGGGCAGAGCAATCCACTGAAGTCAAAAAAGTCTCTAAGAGCTAAGTACTTTGCCTCACAGTTTTGTTTAGCCAATTTAAATTGTATCAGTTATAGCAGTAATTACTGTAGTGGTAATTTTTTTTGTAGTAGTAGTAATTTAAAAGAGCCAGTAAGACTTAGGGATAAGTTGCTACAGATTTTACCAGAATAGTATATCGTGTAGTTGGAAATGCAGAATTCTTACACATTACAGGAAGTATTTAATTTCATTATACAGGGTCACATTTGCCGTATAATCAGGAGATTGCCAGATAATGTTTACTGCAGTGAATTTGCAAATCCATCCTGGTCAATAGAACAATTATTATTCATGTCTTCGTTACCTTCCCATTGAAGGATTCACAATATCCACTTACTTTCTTTTTTTAAAACAATATTTTATTTATTTATTCATGAGAGAGAGAGAGAGAGAGAGAGAGAGAGAGGCAGAGACACAGGGAGAAGCAGGCTCCACGCAGGGAGCCCGACGTGGGACTTGATCCCGGGACTCCAGGATCACACTCTGGGCCGAAGGCAGGCGCTAAACCGCTAAACGGCTGAGCCACCCAGGGATCCCCACAATATCCACTTTCATGTTAAACTTAATTACCATTTTTGCTCTAGAACTGTGCTGGCCATTACAACAGCTATTGCCTCTTTAAATGTGACTATTCAAAATTAGTTGCAATTAAATAAGATTTAAAATTCAGTTCCTCATTCCCTCCAGCCACAAGTGCTCAGTAGTCCCCTGTGGCTAGTGGCTGCCATATTGGACAGTGCAGATGGAGGATATTTCCCATCATTACAGAAAATTTTGTTAGTGCTACTCCAAAGGTTGTCTTCTTTTACAAATGTATATATGCTTTAAAAAGCCATGCAATAGTGAAGTATTTATAGATTAAATAATATAATTTGATTTAAAATAACTGGGAAAAATGGGAGGTTATGGAAGAAACAGGATTTGCCATAGGTTGATAATTGGCGAAGCTAGGTTTGGGATCCATGGGGGTTTCATTATATTATTCTCATTCAGAAATTTTGTGTATGTTTGAAATTTTCCATAATAAAGAATAAAAACAGAAGCCTTAAATAGGAACAGTGCTCACTCCAGTGCTTAGAAGTAGCCATCTGTAAAATGGGCATCTGAAATTCTACCCCATACAGTTTGGTTCCTGTGGTGTAGGGAAATGTTTAATCCTGCCCCAGGGCTTCTCCAAAATGGCATGTAGAATACCACATTTTTTTCAAAGGTTTTTATTTATTTTGACGGGGAGAGAGAGCACAAGCAGGGGTTAGTGGCAGAGGGAGAGGGAGAAGCAGGGAGTCCGACGCAGGGCTCCATCCCAGGACCCTGGGATTGTGGCCTGAGCCAAAAATCAACTGAGCCACCCAGGCGCACCTAGAGTGTACCACATTTTTAAGGTTTATCTCATTCCTCTGAAAACACAGAAGTGACAGCCCTGGTTTGCATTTATTAGCAGTTGGAACTGCCCAAATGAGTCTTGTGGGTAGAATGTGCTAGATTATAATATTCTATTAAAAAATTCCATTGCTGCTGTCATTAATTTTAGCAAAGTCCAGATAGTGTTCCTAATGAAGAGAATGGAGTTCATTTACTCAATTGTTGGCTTATTTTTGTTCACAGCCAGATCAGTCAGCTTCTGTGTTTGGTTTCCTGGTTACCAGCTCCTATGGTGATAGCATTGGAAGAGAGAAAAGGGAGGTCATTGAGAAAACCCTTGGCATAAGACGAAAGCCATCAGTAAAACTGTCACTGTGCCACCGAAGGGTTGTTTGAAGTTGTTACAAACACCTGCGTACTTTGGTCTCCTGCTGCATCTCTAACAAATAGTGGCAGGGCTTATTGTGAGTAGAGAGAAATGGTTGAGGGCAAGGTCTTTGGGGTGAGACTTGGCTTTGAGTGCCCGCCTCAGTCAGTTGTGGCCCACGGAGGGGGAAGACTGAGCTGAGCCCTCACCGGCTGTCTTAGGGAGCAGCAGTAGAGCTGTGCCTGGTACGTGCTTGAGTGCTCAGGATAGGACAGCTGTGGCTATTAGGTCTTTTCTGTACAGAAAGGAATGGGTACTCTGCGTTTTATTTCCTTTATGCGCTGATATTCATAGGATCATGTAGAGAAATGTACAGGTCTAAAGGAATGTAATGGTACCTTTTTATTTTACAGAGTTCTAAAGTCAAAGATCTTGAGATCAATAATGGCAGGAAAATCTTCACTTTTTAAAGTAATTCTCCTTGGAGATGGTGGAGTTGGGAAGAGCTCTCTAATGAACAGATATGTGACCAATAAGTTTGATACCCAGCTCTTCCATACAATAGGTGTAGAATTTTTAAATAAAGATTTGGAGGTGGATGGACATTTTGTTACCATGCAGATTTGGGACACGGCCGGTCAAGAGCGATTCAGAAGCCTGAGGACGCCGTTTTACAGAGGTTCTGACTGTTGCCTGCTCACTTTTAGTGTTGATGATTCTCAGAGCTTCCAGAACTTGAGTAACTGGAAGAAAGAATTCATATATTATGCAGATGTGAAAGAGCCCGAAAGCTTTCCTTTTGTGATTTTGGGCAACAAGATTGACATAAGTGAACGACAAGTGTCTACAGAAGAAGCCCAAGCTTGGTGCAGGGACAACGGCGACTATCCTTACTTTGAAACAAGTGCAAAAGATGCCACAAATGTCGCAGCAGCCTTTGAGGAAGCTGTTCGAAGAGTGCTTGCTACTGAGGATAGGTCAGATCACCTGATTCAGACAGACACAGTCAGCCTGCACCGAAAGCCCAAGCCTAGCTCATCTTGCTGTTGATCATTAGAGAGGTTCCCTGTGCGATCTAACCAACTTACACACACATACAGGAAAAATCACAGGGTGGAGAAGAGAATTAGCATTTGCAGCAATGGATCACCTACTCATAAAATTAAACTAACCATATTGCTGCTTTGTTAGTGGGTGGGAGAAGGGACACATCCACTCATGGAAGAATCAATTTACTCAGTAGTGGCACCTTACATTTATAAATTGTAATGGTTGTCTAATAACGTTTAATTTAAATATGTAAGTTACAGAGCTAATAAACGAGATGATCAAGACTTTAATTATAATTAAAACACTTGAATATTCTGGAAGTTAATGTTTTTTTTTCCCCTGGGAAAATGGAGAACTACTTTTTATATGTGTATATTTTTGTGTAATTAGCATTCAGTTCCTGGTTGAGGGGGGAAAAGATTCCCTAAAGCAATAATGTTAAATAATAAAGATTAAAATCTAATGCATTTGCATTGTGGTTCTTTGATTACTTCTTCATTCTCTTTAAAATTATTTAAGTGTTCACATTTTCATTCTCATCAGAATTGATCTCATTAGTAATCACTCGTCATTTGTGTGCCACATGCAGGACCGCCACCCCCAACACAGAAGCCAGCTTTATCACTCTTGGAGGAAAAACTAAGGCTTGTACTTTGTGTGAAGGTAAACATCTTCGTTCAGCACATCTTTATTCATTACTGCTTTCTCTATCATTGAACACTGTTTAGTGATTTGCTCTCAAGGAGATTTTGATAAAGCAAATTACAGTTCACATGGTGTGCCATTTGTGCCCGTCCCATCCCACAGAGGCAAACCAGCTCATTGTGGGTTACCAGGACATGCTGGGGCAGGGTTATCAAGCCCTACTCATTGGGAGCCACTGAAAAAGAGTAGCAGTATCATTCAGTAACCAAGTTTTTGAAAGTCTAATCTAACATAACACAATTTGGCTATACGCAAACATTTTCACATTTGGAATTTGGGGAAATTAAATCTTCATATTCTCATATTACAGATAGTTGTTTTTATTATTTATAATCAATTTCTCCCCCCTCCCAAAAGTGTAATCCGCCATCAAAAAAAAAAAAAAAAAAAAACGGGGACACGGGGGTGGCTCAGGGGTTGGGGATCTGCCTTTGACTCAGGGCATGATCCCAGAGTCCTGGGAAGGAGTCCCGCATCGGGCTTCCTGCGGGGGAGCCTGCTTCTCCCTTTGCCTGTGTGTCTGCGTCCTTCATGAATAAAGTCTTAAAAAAAAAAATAGGAATCCACTAACAGGTTGTTGTATATTATATATTCTTTTTCTTCTCTAGGGGATTTGCTTTGTTTTTTTCAATCAAAAGTGTGCCCATTGTTTTGTGACTTGCTCTTTCCTCTTAATGTATGTAGACATACTTCCATTATAGTATATCTACCTCATTTTTCAGCTGTACGGATGCTTGTATGGATGCTTACCAATTTATTCAAACCATTCTCTAGTGACACACATCCATCCAGCAGCAGTATACGAAAGTGCCAGTTTCCCACAGGTTCAATAGCAGGTATTAGTAAATTTTTCATTTTTTGAATAGACGAGTCACGTTTCAAAATCATAAGATATAAGGGACATATCTCTACCCTTGTCACTCAGTTCCTGTCCCTGGAGGCAGCATGTGTCCGTTTCTTAGGTATCAAGCTAGATATTTAGTATGTAAGGAAAGCATATTGTAGTAGTTTGCTAGGGCCGCCATAACAGAATGCAGACTTGAGTGGCTTAAACAGTGGAAATTTTTCTCATAGCTCTGGAGGCTGTAAGTCCAAGATCAAGGTGTTGGTAGGTTTAGTTTCTCCTAAGATCTCTCTCCATGGCTTGCAGATGACCTTTCCTCTGTGTGCAGCACCCCACCACCTTATCATGTGACCACGTCTCTGTCCCAAATTTCCTCCTCTCTCGAGGACACTAGTCAGATTGGATTAGGGCCACCCTAATGGGCTCTTCTTAATCACCTCTTTAAAGGCCCTGTCTCCAAATACAGTCTCATTCTGAGGGACTGGGGGCTAGGGCTGCAACATGAGTTGGGGACACATACCAGCCCATAATACATATGTGGGTATTTACATAATGTATATTTGGTTCTTGTATAGATTAAACATACTTTGCTGGTTTTTTAAAAAACAAGCAGCTTTTCAGTAACCTTTTTTCAGCTAAATACTCAGGGATTCCTTGCTATTCAAGAGGTCTAGAGCTAGGAGGCAAAAAATGGTCAAGGGAACCGATCTTCATGTGTGTAAAAAGACAGGCTGGTGGGGAGAGTAATCCTCTTTAACACCGTGACTCCAGGTGATCCAGGAACGGGCTAGCTGACCAAGCACAGTCCTGAAATGTGACAACTAAGGAGGAACGAAACCTGACAATCACTTCGGCCTTCAGAGACTACAATTAACTGATGGGAAAAGCTCTTCAACAAGAAGGGAAAGGTAGCTGCAGATCGGACTTGTGTTTTTAGGAAGTAAAAGATCTTTTGATCGGCTCGTGTTACCTAAACAAAGATGAGAAATATTGAAAAAACAAGAGTTGGGAACAAAGCAGTTGGCGCCCGAGGTAGCAGGAGCCGTGGAAGCAGCTGCAAGGTCCCCAGGAAGCCAGCAGAAGCGGGGAATGTCTGCAGGCCACCCCTCCCCCGCCACCCCTCGCTAAGGGAGGAGAGGCCCCAGTGTCGCCTGCAGTGCCTGTGCTCACCACACGGCGCCAGGCTGGCTCTGTGACAACGTGTGCTTCTGTAGTTTACTCACGTAAAGCCTTTGAGACAGTTCAGCGTTAAGAAAAAAGCAAACTACTGAACTTGGAGAATAGACAGCTGTACGTCTGAAGCCCTTGTAGCAAATACAAAGTGCAGTGTGGAAGACGGCAAAGTACAGTTCTGTCAGTGGGGTCATGTTTTTGTCGCCTTGTGAAACATTAGTTAAAACATCCTAGACGTTCCTTAAAATTTTTACATTTCTGTAAAAATGTGTGTCCGCTTTCCCTTTAGTATCATGACGCATGGATACCAGTGCTCTCACAATACCAGTGGCTTGTGGGGCAGTGACGTGTAAAGTAGAAAGTGGACCTGCGTCCTGTCCGTGGATTTTGAGAAGTCACCACTGAATTGGCAACCAGAATGGGCTGCTGTGCCTGAAAAGTGAAAGAATATGAGTGTAGCATGGGCAGAGCCGAAATCCACGGTCTCTCTATGTACACAGGAAACGTGGGCACCAGTGAAGCGTCCTAGTAAAAGACCATATCAGAATTGTGCATTCTTTGGGTCCCTTGAGGAATGCTGACATAGTGCTGACACACACATGCTGAGTGGGGCCTCATGCCCAGGGCGCTGCTGACATCATCCCATTGCTCTTGTGGTCCTGAACCTTGTGTGACATCACCTACTACCAGATCCAAGCTTTTGCTGGCTTTTTAGCTTTCCTGCCAGTCCTGGTTCCATCCTATCCACATGCCCAGTGCTGCTTTTTGTCCACCCCTTCTTGGCCCATGTGTTTTCCCAATGCAGCTCACATCTGACGTCCCATCCGCACCCACACTTGGCACTGGGCTTGCTTCAAGCTCCTTCAAAGACACAGTTGCTCATACCATTTGGTACTTGGCTACGGTAACATACTCACGTAGGGCTTCTGTGACTTGCTCCCATCGCACCCTGGAGGAGAGGATCATTGTTTGCAAGGTACCCTACAACCTCCTGCTGAAAACCTGCTGCTGCTGCTGCTGGCAGCTCTCTGCATCACGTGTTTACTGAGGGCAGAGCAAGCTGTATCCGCTAAGTACGCACTGGGGTTTCTCTGGTGAGCCTGGCTGAAACCCCGCCTAGATTTCTAGCAGAGTATCTTTCTGTTCCCAAAGTTCTGGCACCTAGTTTGAGGTGATCTGAATTCTGGAAAATGGGTTAAGATAATAGTTTGTAGACTCTCAATAGGGGAAATAGGACTAAAACAGCGGTAGCAGGGTGAGCAACACTTAAAAAATTCGATTGAACTTCCACAATCTTGGACAAGCATCTTTATTTAAGAAATCAAATAAATAAATGGGGTAAACAATTATGACACCAACTTCACACAAGGGTCTGATACCAAACTTGGAATGATTTGCTCAAGTTGTTCAGGATGGAACAAAATTGAGTGCTCACAATTAGCACAGAAAATATCTGGTTATAGTACTTGTTTTTTAAGTGGACATTTAGTAGTTTATAGTAAGATCCCACTTGTTACAGGAGGCCACTCCCCACCCCTTGGTATACAGCCTAAAAAAGCCAAGAATGCAAATGTTAATATAAACTTTTGTTTACAGTTCCAGATTTCCACCTTTTTACTAGTAGAACTATCAACAGGTTCACTTAACTTTCAGTTTACTGTCTGAAGGAAAGGCAATATAAGAACATAACCTGTCACTTTGGTCCCAGCTTCCCATTTTACAAATATGGATCTAGGATTCTAGATTTTTAGCAGAATCACTATTCCCAGTCTTTGACAGAGGGGGGCTTCGTGGCATTTGGCACTGCAAAAGCTGCTTGCTTCGGCTTCTTGAGTAGTGTTATATATACTGCCTATGTGATTTTTATAACAATATTTCTAGACGTATAGAAGCCCATGTACATGCTATCAATTTCATTCCCTACTGCAGAGACTTTTAGGTTTAAATCTGTCTAGCAAAATCTTGACAATGACATTTGGTTCTGGATCGTGACATCAAGATCAAACTATCTGAATGAGTAAAGTCAAAAGCTCATTCTTAATTTTTAGAATAAGGATATTTTCAAGGTTATAAAGAGTTTATAAGTAACACTATTCACAAGCAAATATTGATCTGTTGATAATCATAAGAAACTGAATGTACTGTTTTGAAATATACAAGAAACTTCATTAAGTTTAGATAAATTTAGACTAGAAGTAAAACTTTTCCAGGCTATTTAATTAAGTTACTTACAACGTACACATTCCTGAGAATACCCCATTGTAGTGACATTGTGTATTTCCAAACTTTTCCAGATTCAACTTAAAAGGTGCTTCTTCCCAAGAAACTGAACTTTTCTGTCAAAAGCGCTTGATCGAATAGGAGAATTGGGTTCATAAAATGGATTCATTGCAAACTAGGAAAGAAGAAAGTATTAGTGAGGTTGTCAAAGTACAAAGGCTGACAAATCATAGATGTCTAGAAGGAAATTATTGTAAAGTTCTAAATTAAATCATCAAAGACATCCAAAACAAAAGTCTGAAGACCACATTAAGTTTCAACAAAAATGTTCCGTGGGTAAAGAGTAATGCCCCCTCGAGGTTTGGGTCTTGGTGTTTGAGAAGTACCTGTGGCAAAACCAATGGTGGTATGATAAGTGTTGCCAATGTAAGCTAAATGAACTTTCAGGATTCACCCTTTGTGTGAAATAGTAATGTACTCATATTAATTATAAATATATGGCTCAATCCCCTGTGGTACATAAAACTGAAAATCCAGCATATGCCCATAGTTTAAAAAAAAAAGTATACTACATTGCTATTATTGCACTTATGTAGCAATTTTTTTTAGCAATTAGGTTTTTAATACTGTCCTTTTAACACAAGGCTAAGTGATCAGTTTCTTAAATAGTGTAATATCATAATATGTGTGAGAAAACTCTTACAGGGCTAAATATTTTTACTTGCTAATTCTGACTAGGAATATTACTGTGCAGATATGCAAAAACTCTTGTCTAAGTACAAAACATTCAATAGAACATACTGTTAGCACTGCATTTTAACCATAGACATCCTAGTACTATTTTATTTTTTCTAATTATCAAGAAATGTGAGTGGCACCATTCTCCTTGAGTGACTACTTGGTAAACTGACAGTTTGTAATCTATATTTATTGCATTGTAATTTACTTGTAAAGTAGATGGAGAACATTTTAGATTGAATTATGAAGCAATTTCCTTCTGTAACCTGCTTCCTTCTCTTTTTAGGGTTCCCTAACAGATAGGATCAACCATCTGTGCTCAAAGGGGGAAACTGAAACCAATTTAAAAGTAACTACAGTGAGTTCTGTCAAATACATGGTAGCCTGGCAGTGAAGACTTGCCTGAGGAGGGAGTTTGCAGGGATTGTTTGATTGGAGGAGATGAAAACAGCAGTACGAGGGAGTTACGGCAACAGGCCAGTTTCCTGTCAAAGTCAGAATCCCTTTTACAATCACATTGAAAAAGTTATAGAACATACCATACCTTTATGTATAAATCATAAACATCAGTAAAAAAGTTCTTTATTCCATCTTCTTGTCTTATGTCATGAAGCATAATAAATCTCATATGTGAAAGAATTAAGGTATAATCTTAATAGAAATGAAAAGTAGTCAGGTGATACAATATCCTTCAAATGAGTCACATGCATTGTATTTGGTGATGGAAAAGCTGAATATATAAACTGGGTTTGAAGTTAGGTTAGTTTCATTTTAAGAGGACATAATCTTTTTAAAAAAATAACTACAGAACAAAGTAAAATCAACCTTATGGTTCAGGTTAACTTTAGTTTCATATGAGACTTGGCTTTAAAATTATCTGTTAAACAAAATGTGGGTATTCTTTTCCCCTTAAAAAAAAAAAAAAAAAAAAAAAAAAAAGTAGCCCTCTGAGTGGCAATTTTTACCTGACACTTTGAAGCTCTCTGAGTGGCAATTTTTACCTGACACTTTGAAGTCCAGACTTGGAGTCTGGCATCTATGTCCTTTGTTGTTCTAGTTTGTTACCCCAACCTTTAGTTAGAGATCTTTATTTAAAAGATAAGGATATGACCTGCAGTAACAAATGCCGAAACAAACCACTCGTTGAACTTGTCCACGGTTTTCAGGTACATGTTGTTCGATAGCCACATATTCTCATCTACAAGGTCGAGAGCAGCATGAGCTATGAACTGGTTCAGATGACGATGATCATCCTGGATGACAATGTGAGTAGCACCAGATCAACTTTCCAGACAGCATCAAGAATGCCAGCATTTTATTCTGGAAATTGTATACAGTTTTCTTGGGGGTGGGATGGCATCTTCTGCTTTCACTTCATTTATTACTATCATGGGTTAGAAAATATCTTAACTGTTTTTACATCATAGTCTTTTTAATTTGGTATCTAAAACTCAGCAAATAGAAACAGCCAGTGACTTAATAAATGAAATGTGTTCAAGAAACTATATAGATTATTTTTTTAATTTTGTAAGAAGGAAGTTCCCAAATTTGGTAATCATTTAAGCACATGAGGAAAGAATAGTAGGTTATAAAAAAAGAGATTCTGCTTTAAAGACATTCACATCTTTTTAGAGAAAGATGTGAAAAAATCTTTAAGTGGTTATGGCTAAAGGACAGCAATTTAGGTAGGCTGAAGAGCCAAGGAGGTGGTGAAGAAGAGCTACACAGAAATGATGTTGGCGTGGATCTCAGGGTCAGCAGGGGAAAAGGGCAGGCCTTTTCACTGGGCCCAGTGACACTTGATGAGCAGTGGAGACAGCTGAGGAGGCGGTACTCTCAGAGGCTTGGCGTAGGCCTCTTTCAGGTGAACGAAGCTTATGTGACGGGGGATCTGGGAGTGGCAGAGGCCATGCTCAGCCCCAGCTGTGAGCAGTCACCTGTCTCAACAAGGGGAGACAGTCCTGTCAGAGCTGAATGTCCTCGTGGGCATACCTGGAGGTGGGACTGTCCCACCATAATATGGAGAGGGAATTCACAACCTGGAACAGTCTTAGTCCTGAGGGATTCTTTATTTCAAACTAAAATTTTCGGGAAGCCTGGGTGGCTCAGCAGTTGAGCGCCTCCCTTTGGCCTGGGGCAGGATCCTGGAGTACCCGGATCGAGTCCCACATCAGGCTCCCGTCTCCTTCTGCCTATGTCTCTGCCCCCCTCTCTCTCTCTGTGTCTCTCATGAATAAATAAAATCTTTAAAAAAACAAAAACAAAAAAAATTTGTCAAAGAACACTTCTGTTATGGGTCAAACCGAATTCTTATGTTGACGTCCTAACCACCCCGACCCCACCCAGTACCTCAAAATGTGGCCTTATTTAGAAACCGGTCATTGCAAATGTACTTAGCACGCTAGAGTAGGATAGCCCCTAATCCAGTATCACCAGTGTACTTATAAAAGGGGAATTTAGAAACAGACACATAGGGAGAATGCCATGTGAAGACTAGACTTCTCCAGAAGCTAGGAGAGGGGCCTGGAACAGATCTTCCCCCAGCACCTTCACAGGGGGCCTGGCTTGCTGAACCGTTGTTCTTGGACTTCTGGCCTCCAGACCGGTGAGACAATGAGCTGCTTTTACTTGAAGACACCCGGTTTGTGTGTTCTATGATGACAGCCCTGGGAAAGGAAACTTAATATGACCTCCTTGCTGAGGAGGCTGTCTTGTGACTGGGCTGGAGGAAGGCTGCCAGTTGCCTTGGAATCCCCTGCACAGTTCAGGCATGTTTACTTCATCACATCACTATGACAAAGCTAATTTAATCCTTAGAGAAATGGATGTATTTTGTGTCTGGCTTACAGCAGTGTTTTCCATCACTTTACATGGATGATCAATTATGAGATTAGAAGAAAAATGTAGAAATGCTTTAGAAGGTGAGTGGTAGCAGGAGAAAGAACCATGGTCAAAGTGTGCAACAAAGCGTTTTTATACGCACAGCTTTGCCTACCACAGGTCCACAGAAACTATGTAAGTAGCCCTGTACCACAAAGCAACAGCTGCTACAGAGACGCTTCAATACAAAGTTTTAAAGGAGCAGTGTGCTCACAGGAATGTGTGGAAAAAATGTAGCAAAGCCACCTGAGAATACCCTAACCAAATTTCTATCTTATTTTAGTGGCAAGATTTAAATAGTTGAAAAGCATCACACACTGGACATTATGCATTACAATTAATTTCAAAAATCAATTCTTGTCTTAAAGGACATTAAAGCTTATTTTTGGAATTGAGAGAAACACACTTTAACCTGTCAGCAATTTATTAGCAACATGGACTAGTATAGAAAGGTGGAAAGGCCCCAGGTATTCTCATCTCAGGATTCTACGTTTACTCTGAATGGCATGTTCTTGAGCCAAGCTTGTTTTTTTGGAACCATTACTGGCAACAAGAAAGTTGGGTGGTTGGGCAGCCTGGGTGGCTTGGCGGTTTAGTGCCGCCTTCAGCCCAAGGTGTGGTCCTGGCGACCCAGGATCAAGTCCTGCATCAGGTTCCCTGCATGGAGCCTGCTTCTCCCTCTGCCTGTGTCTCCACCTCTTTCTCTGGGTTTCTGATGAATGAATGAATGAATAAAACCTTAAAAAAAAAAAAGTTGGGTGATGTCACTGGGGAGGACAGCATGCGGGCACCATGCAGCCAGTAGGTGGTGCAGAAGGTCACTGAAAACTGCCGTATTCTCAAGGGCAGCAGGACATGGAAGCAAGGGTCTCTTTTAACCCTCCCAGGTGTAAGTGGACCTATTATGTATGTTCTGATGAAAAAGGTAATTCACTTGGACAGAATGGGCTCTCGTGGCATTTCCAGTAGTAACAACTGTTTTTCCAGGCCCACTACAGGTGGACTATGTTTCTATGTGCTGAGGGAGCAGCTTTTCGGAATGATTGACAGTGAACTACATATCCGAGAACAGACCCTGAGCATCCTGCTAGTATGTGCCAAATGTGTGCTGAATTAAAGGATGAATCAGCAACTCAGAGGATGTTCTCTGGCGAGCTTCTATCAACCTGGTGGGACTGCAGAGCAAGCCTCATTTAGTTGTGGTGGATTCCAGTTACCTCATCTGTCCAGATCTCTTTCAGTTCTAAAATAATGCCACACTATTATCATTACAACAGTATAACAGTTCTTACAGAATTTTTTAAGGTTCCATACGCACTTTGGATTCTGCTTTTCCAGCTGGCAAAAATTCCATTTCGAAAACTGGATTATCATGGTGGCCAACAATTACAAAGTAGAAGCTTCCAGACATTGTCTTCAATATGTAGCTCCTAGTTAAGTGAAAATAACACATATTTTTAGTACTCTATACCAGTTAGCATTATTAGCACTAACACCAGGAAAAATTAATAAAGGGTGTTGATTTTGTCTTCTTCCTACTTGAAGACCATCTGCTACAAATTTAAGTCTCTGCAAATGCAGGAGCCTATGATATGCTTCCTCAAACATTCATGAGAAAGACATGAGGTGCCTGGCTGGGTCAATCGGTGGAGCATGTGACTCTTGATGTTGGGATCATGAGTTCAAGCCCCATGGTGGATGTAGAGATTACTTAAAAAAAAAAATCTTTAAAAAATAAGAAAGGAAGACACAATTTTGTATTCTAGAAAAGATGGAAGAAACCATAAGCCAAAGAGAAAGACATCTAAGGCATTAAGTGTTAAAACTGTTGTTAATAAGTTTGCTAAGGAAATGAAGAGAAAGTGTGGGGGAGGCATGTTGGAAGGGGATCAGGGATTGTATGGCTTTTAGCACAATAATCTGGATGGACAGACGGATGGGTAGAAGGATTCATATATGAATGCATGTATTTTTAGCACAGGGTCTTTGTAATCAGACAAAGTTAGGTTCAGATCTAGCTTTGCCACTTTCTAGTAACGTGACCATAGGCACAGTCCTTAAACTCCCAGTGTCCGTTTCCTCTTCAGTGAAATAGAGGTAACGATCATAGATCCCTTACAATGACTTTGAGGATTATACAATAATGCATGTGAAGCACCAGGCACAGTATCTGGCTCATAGGAGGTGCTCAGCACGTTACCTAGAACAACATGGAGGAGCACATGCACATGGAGATGTGCTGACTCTTAAGGCCTCCATGTGGGGCAGCAATCTGGTTAACTGAGTACACCATCTCAGAGAATGTACGGTGAGGTGTGTCAGAGCCCAGGGCTCTTCAAGCCTCACTAGAACTTCTGATTCACAGAGACCATCAGAAAATCTGAAATGTATTTCCTAATGAATACAACCTTTTGTTAAGGACATCAAGGCAGAGCTGGCACTTTTAACTCTGGAAATGGAAGGCCCGTGACTGGAAGAAAGGGCAAATAGGACGTTCTTTGGGCATGACGAGGTAAATAGGATTTAAAATGTTATTTTGGGCAGGTATTGGCACATTACAGCCTGCAGGCCAAATATCTGGCCTCCCATCCTTTTATTGTTGCTGAAGGCTGCCTTTGCCCAACAACACGATGACAGAGTTGAGCAGTTGGGACAGAGACCATCTGATCCTTTACAGGGAGAGTCTTAGGGATAGATGAGGAAAAGGCCCAAATAGTAAAACTGAATAACAAGACAGGCAGGAATGATATGAAAGCTCCGCAAAACTAGGAGAAATAGCTACAATTCTCAAGATTGAAAGAAATTCTCAAGGGGGAGAGGGACGGGAGCTTTAAATTTGAACAAAGTTGACAAGATGTCATTAACTGGAATAGGTTTCATAGCTGGAGTTTGCCAAGGGAAGGGCTCAATTTCTTCAGTACAAACATTTAAGAAGTAGCAGAAAACAATACACATGTAAGGAAGCTAGCCCTCATTCCCATGCCTGCATAGTGTCATAATAGGGTGAGGGTAAACAGAAAGGGAACCGAAGGAAATACCACATAAAGGTTATGTCATAAATGCTCCTGCTGGGCAGAAACTGAACTGTCAATAATTTGGCTTCACAGCAGCTGAAGGACTCATATAAGTATTCAATTCTATAGGCAAAACTGGAAGGTGAAGTGTCTCAGGAAGGGGATGCACCTGTATCTGCACTGTCCAAAGTGATAGCCACTGGTGGCTCTTGTGCCTGCAGATCTGAATTTTTGACTCTAATTTTAATTAATTTAAATTTAAACTTAAGTAGCCACCTGTGGTTAGTGGCTACTGTATCAGACAGTAGGGCTCTGTAACAATGAAGCTTTTTAAGTTCTGCAACCTCTTCTACCTTCCCTCCCTCCACAGAGCAAGTACTACTTAGAACTCCGGGCTGTAATACAAATTAAGCAACTGCCGTGTGTGTCTGCTCAATTTCCCTATCACCTAAAATAGCGGCCCTTCAAGTATCTCCAAAGAAGACTAGGTCTCCAAGTGTGGAGGACAGAGCGACACAGAACCTGGCAATGGATTAGCCTGGGGAACTGAGGAAGAGGGAAGAATCAAGGATATATCCAAATGCCTGACCGAGGTGATCAAGCTGAAGAATATCAAGATGAGTCTGTTCACCAAGAAAGGAAATAAGGGGAAAAAAGGGGATGAAATGAACACGTCAATTTTAGCATGCGGTGGTAGCCATAATAGCACGCCCTGCTCTGTCCACATCCTGCTCTCGAAAACCTGTGAATGTTAGTTTCCTCCCAGAGGGGAATTAAAGCTGTAGGTGGAACTGAGGTTGCTCACCATCTGACCCTACAATGGGGAGGAGCCTGGACTAACCAAGTGTGCCCAAAATAATTACAAAGGTCTTTAAAGGGGGCGGGCAGGGAAGATAAGCCCAAGAGAAAGGTCAGAAGAAAGTGCAAGGACAGGAGGGTCACAGAGCTGCAACGCAGCTGGTGTTGAAGATGGAAGAAAGGGCCAGGCGCCAAGGAAGGTGAGTGGCCTCTAGAGGTTGGAAAGCACAAAGCCGATTCTTCCTGACAACCTCCACAAGGGTACACGTTCCTGCTGATACCTGGATTCCAGCCCACGAAGACCCGTGGTGGACCTCAATGTAAGGTAATAAATTTGTGTTATTTAAGCCACTCAACCTTGTTACGGCAGCAGACAACACACATCAGAGCTGAAAAAGCTGTAGGAATGAGAAAAAATGAAATACTCAAAGTACTCACAGAAGGTGAGTGCATGGGACGCCTGCGTGGCCCAGTGGTTGAGCACCTGCCTTCAGCTCTGGATGTGATGCTGGGGTCCCGGGATCGAGTCCCACATCGGGCTCCCTGCGTGGAGCCTGCTTCTCCCTCTGTGTCTCTGCCTCTGTGTGTGTGTGTCTTTCATGAATAAATAAAATGTTTAAAAAAAAAGGTGAGTGCAGTGTGTAGGAGACTGAGGACAAAGGGAGTGTCCCGTTTATCACGGGACAAGGGTTTCAAAGTGCTGTGGAAGGTTGGAGGGAGGAAGGGAGGGGGGGACAGTGGTGCATCAATGGGAAGCTAACTAGGGATACTAAGGTAGGTATTTTTCTTTCCCAGCATGCCTCTCTAAGGCTTACCACAGAGCTCGGTACCTAATAAGCGCTCCATGCCTGTGGAATGGAACTGTGAGGAGGGGAGCAATAGTGGGGACAGTGCCAGGGAAAGCTGGAACACAGGAGTGGGAGGTATGCTGGGATTAAGTAGCCTCAACACAGAACTTTCTAGTGCTGAGGCCCTCAGTCTCAGAGGCCTGACTGATGAAGTCTGATGAAGTGATTAACAACACCTTTGTGAAAAGTTGAGGTTTAGGCAGTCGTGAAAAAACTCTCCATGACAAGAGACTGGAGTTGTTGACTGAATGGAGTGGCGCCAAGACACTCACCTGGGATGAAAACAGCAGCTGCCTCTGATGGCTAGGTGATGGAAACCGCTTGAGAGAGTGCGTGACAACTGAAGAAATCAAAGTGGTGATATAGGAGCTCCGGACTACCTTGAACTGAAAGAGGACGCTAACTAGTGATGAACACACAAAACGAGACCATGTATCTGTGAGGCTGGCATGAGAAGGGCAAAAGCAGAAAATGAATGGAAATGTGTGAAATAAGAAAAAAGCCTTAGAGTATAATCAGGAAAAAGGGGAGAAAGGTTAGCTGGTACATACGAGGATGCAGATCTACTGAACTTGAACTATCTCAAAGAGCCTGATTTTTAAATAGCAACTGTGACAAAAACAAAGTTAGGTACACTGTGAACCTGAAGACAGGTATATTAAAAAAAAAAAAAAAAAACCCTCCCAATAAATACGGGCCTTCAGGTCTCCACATATTTTCTATTTTGGATCAACAAATGTGATTGTATACTAATCAGCAACATGAGAAATCTCAGGAACAAAAGTTACACCATCTGAGGTGTTACTATTTTCAGAAGCAAAGGCTTCTCTTCTGTAATTGACAACTTTTGGAATAAATTAAAACCCCAAGAGAAACACGCATTAATGCCAGTCTCCAGTCAGATAACCTGCTAGGAGCTTTTATTTTACATTAACTTCGTTAACCTGAATCCCCAGACAAAAACAGTAAGTGGTTATTCACTCATAAAGTACCAGTTATGTGAGAATAAGTATTGCCAAACTTACTTTGTCTGCTTTGGAAGAGAAATCCAGGAGATGGCAAATAATTTTACGACGGAACCTGGTATCTACCTGAGAAGTGGAGATGGGTAGCTTGAATTTAAGATCCTGGTACCCTCAGAGCTGGGGCGGGGCAGGGCAGGCATCACGTGCTATTTGAGTGAGGGACCACTCCTACCTGACTTGCATGCTCAGGGAACTTAAGGTTCTCTGAGTCAGCTGACAGCATGGGGTCTCTAGGGAACCTTTGAGCTTGACCTTAACCTAGTCCTGTTCAACATTTTGAGTCTATAAGTGGGAGAGTTTCTCCTGTGCAAGGATAATATGTTCGGGTAGCCAAGACACTGGAAGGCAACACTAAGGATTCAAAAACTTTTCCAGGCTAAGAGAACGTAGTGAAAGTAACAAGATAGTTTAAGAGAATGCAAAAACAAGTCCCGTGTTTTAAAAAGAAAACAAAAAAAAAACAAAAACAAAAACAAAAAAAACCCCTGTACAATAGATGAGAAACGTAGGTTCAGAGCAGCTTATTTACAAGATTCCAAAGTTTACATTATTCACAAGCTCTAAAAGGGGGCAGAAAGCTAATGGCAACTCTGGCCTGCATTAAGATAATGTGCTCTTAAATAATCCTATTGCCAGGGAACACACTTCCTTCTGGGAAGCTTATGTTATATATTTTTTTAAGATTTTATTTATTCATGAGAGAGGCAGAGACAGGCAGAGGCAGAGGGAGAAGCAGGCTCCCTGCAGGGAGCCTAAGGTGGGACTTGATCCCAGGTCTCCAGGATCACGCCCTGGGCCAAAGACAGGCGCCAAACCGCTGAGCCACCTAGACTGCCCTGGGAAGCTTATTTTAAAAGGATTAATAACTGTGAACTGGGTGTAGTAAGGAATGCTCTGGGAAGAGCTACTGAAGGAACTGAGTGGGGAGAGGAAGGTGTTTCTTGGGGTGGGGAGATACAGTGTAGACTGTCTAATGGAAAAGGAATTGGACCAGGGATGGCAAATAGGTTACCTCTGGTGAGCCAGTTTCTATTTAACTGGTAGTGACGGCCAGGACCTGGTGCTGATAAGACGGAGACAACGGTCTGTAGCAGGAAAGCGGGCTGTGATCCAACGGCAGTACCTACGCGAGCGCCCAGTAATTAGCGCTGGACTTGACAGACTTTTTCCAAACTGCCCAGAGATCAAGCTCAGGGCTGCTCCTTAGAGGTTACCTGGGAATTTATTCGGGTCAATGTTAGGCACTTTCTCACACACACACGAACTACCAGGCTAGGCCCCAGTGAGAGGACTAATCCCCTCCCATCACAGGATAGCGTCAATGAAGAACTTTCCAGCTGCAAAGAATACTGCAGCCAAGTTTAAGAAGCCCCCAGTTAGATGAACGACCTAATGAAAGGCTAAATGAAGCAAAGGCCCTGAGCTGGCTGACGCTTGCGGGCTGAAACGCGATGTCCATCGGCGGGGTGGCCTGTGATGAGATCAGCCGAAAGGGGACTGGCCAGGTCCGACCCGGCTGCCCTCAGGCGGGCTGGAGACGCTGAGACACAACTCGCGGCGTGCGGGGCAGGGAATGTCCCCGGAAGCTCCCGCCCCCTACTCACTCCATCTCCTACCTGCGGCGAGAATCCGACAAAGGGAACAGCCACACTTCCCAAGGCCGACCCGCGCCGCGCGGCCACCGTCGGAACTCCCCGAGCGATCCTCGCGAGAGTCCGGCGGTGGCATCTCGCGAGAGTCCGGCGTTGGCGTCTCGCGAGAGGAGGGAGGGGCTTCCGGCCCGAGTACGGCGCGTGCGCAGTAGCACTCCCGGCTTGGGCCGTTCGGTTGGGCGGGCCTCGGGGAGAGGCGGGGTCAATGCGGAACGCGGCGAATTCCTGCTCCTACGTGTTTGTCTTCTGTTGCTTCACTACCGGTCCCCGCCCCCGAGGCGCGTGGGAAAGTCTCCTGTGGGCCGCGACTCCGCCTACCCATGGACCGCCGAGAAAGGAAGTGCGAATGGTCTACATTTCCTAGTTCACAGTGAGAGGCGGAGTTCGGCTTCCTTGTTCTCCTCGACTGCCCCCAGGCGGAGACTGGGCTCCGGAGGCCGGGATTCCACCTCTTCCCGAGCCTGCAGCTCCGGCGGGGTGTTAACTCGGGCCAAAGTAGGATATAATGCAGGGTTGGGGGGAGTCGGAGGCAGTGGGAGGCCGACACCCCAGGGCCCGGGTAGATACACTGGCCCCTCCTCGGGGAGCGGCGGAAACGTAGCCTCTTGTTTGTTTTCGTAATAGCTCCTTTCCCCCTGATCGGCCTCCTAGAGTTTCCCTCCCTGGAGGCCACTCCTCTGTTTTCAGAAGTTCGCGCTGCGTCTGCCCACCAGGTAACCCGTAACCGTTTTTTCTTCCAGACCACAATGCCCTCCAAACCCGACGTGTTGAGTCAAGATGAACTGCGAAAAAAGCTGTACCAGACGTTTAAGGATCGGGGAATACTGGACACACTCAAGGTATGAGGTTTACGCATATCTTTTACAGAACTTAGGCAAGTCTAACCTGTAACAGGCACCCAACGTTTAAATACACCTAGCTCTTGCATTTTAAAAAGAGTATGACATAGATTGTTTTTGGTGAATTACATTTTTATGTTCCTGTGTAACTCTGTTCTGGAGCACAAAACTCTTGAAAATGGTCTAGGGTTTGAGTGGTCTTAAAATAACATATTTAAGTAATAGGCTTATTGGACTGATAATAAGGTAGTAGTGGATAGCCACGTAAAGTGAACATATTCTAGTAGAGTTGGACTTGGTTTATAAATCTGGCTTGCAAATCTTGAATGAATAGGTTTGTAATACTACTCACTTTTGAATGAACGACTTTGACAGCATATAGAAAACATTAGGTGTACTATTTACAGTAGAATAATTTGGGAAATGAGAAACTCCTTTAAAATGTATTCAGATGTATAAACATTTGGGCCGCAAGCATTAGTATACATTGTATCAACACCAAGGAGTAAGAGTAGCTCAAATGTTTTTGTTACTGGATAGGTTTCAAAAGTACATTTTAAGATGTTAAGGGGGCGCCTGGGTGGCTCAGTCAGCTGAGCCTCTGGTTCTTGGTTTCCTCTGAGGTCCTGATCAGTATTGTGGGCTCCGCCCAGTGTCAGCTCTGCACTGCGGCCGGTACCTGCCTAAGATTCTGCTTCTCCCTCTGCCCCTCCCTGCCTTAAAAAATTCAACGAAAACTGAGCTTTTTAAAAACCTTCCTCCCTCTCCCATTGTTTTCGTAACTTAAAAAACCTTCAGATTCATCTGAAAAATGTGGAAAGACGTGGAGAAACATCATCCCTAATATAAACAGTAAATGGCATAACAGTAACTCCCCCCCCCCCCCCAGGATTTTAAGTAATCTCCATACCCAATAAAAGGCTCAGGCCCACAGCCTGGATGGAGACCCAGAGTCCCACACTTCATCAGCTGAGCCAGCCAGGTACCCCTCCTGTATAATCTGATTTTCCTGTATCCTTTAAAGTTCCTTGAAATCCTCATTTTCAGTGGCACCAGGCTTGTCTTTGAACGTATGGGTAATTTATGTAGCAGTCCCCTGTTGAAGATTTACGTTACACTCAGGTCTACACATTCCTTTAATGCATCTCTCATTTTTTGCCTAGGATAGGTTACGTGACATTACTGACTTAGAAGCCTGAGTTGTTGTTGTTAAAATTTCATTTATTTATGAGAGACAGAGCGAGAGAGCAGGAGGAGGTGCAGAGGAGTGGGAGAAGCAAGCTCCCCACTGTGCGTGAAACCCAATGCAGGGCTCAATCCCAGGACCCTGAGATGAACCTAGCTAAAGTCAGACGCTCAACCGACTGAACCACTCAAGGCCTGAGCTTTTTTAAGGCTCTCAGTATATGGTTCTTGTCCTAAAAAGATTATAATAGTATACTACCAGCAATTTGACAATGCTTATCTCTCCAATGGTATTGTCATGACTTTGTTTAAACACTGGAAAAACTTTATTTTAACTTTATTTTAAGATTCCTTTAATTATTGAGGATGCACATATTTTCTGGTGATTCATATGTTTTCTGTGGATTGGCAGTTCATGTTTCTTGCCCATTTTTCTCCCCGGGGTGTTGTATTAACGTATAGGATGTGTTTTATTTTTTTTTTAAGATTTTATTTATTTATTCATGAGAGACCAAGAGAGAGGCAGAGACACAGGCAGATGGAGAAGCAGGCTCCGTGCAGGGAGCCCAACGTGGGACTTGATCCAGGGACTTCAGGATCACGCCCTGGGCTGAAGCAGCACTAAACCTCTGAGACACCCGGGGCTGCCCCTAAGATGTCTTTTAATAGAAACTAAATCTCTTTTCCATTTTTTTGCAGCCATACTTTATCTCAGTGTTCAATTTTGATTTGATTCCAAAAATATTGATGTTATGTTTTTAGTATGGCCAAATCTATTTTTTTTTCTTTTGCTGGCTATTCTCAGTTCTTCTAAGAGAACTAATATTCCCTTTTTATTTTTTAAGAAGGCCTTTTTTTTTTTTTTTAAGTTTAACCCATTTGGAATTAGTTGTAGTGTTTAATGCATTAATGTGGTTTTTATTGTAGAATGGTCCTTGGATTCCTGGCCATGGCATATTTTCTTTTACTGTGCTTCTGAATTAGATTTCTATTTTATTTATAGTCGCAAATGATACTGACCTATCCTTATCCTTTTTAAGTACTCCTTGTTTGGATTTGGTATCCAGATTCTGCTAACTTTGTTTACTTTACAAATGCAGTCTATCAGGGATCCCTGGGTGGCCCAGCGGTTTGGCGCCTGCCTTTGGCCCAGGGCGCGATCCTGGAGACCCGGGATCGAATCCCACGTCGGGCTCCCAGTGCATGGAGCCTGTTTCTCCCTCTGCCTGTGTCTCTGCCTCTCTTTCTCTCTCTCTCTCTGTGTGTGTGTGTGTGTGTGTGTGTGTGACTATCATAAATAAATATAAAAAATAAAAAGCTTTAAAAAAAACAAAAAAAAAAACAAATACAGTCTATCTTCTGGAGAAACATTGTTTCTTTTTTCAGCTGGCTGTTCAGTTCTGTTATTCCAGCTTTACCAATGGCAAGACAGATCTTTACTTACTAAGTCTGGGCTAATTTTTGTTTTCTCAATTCAGTGACTATGGCCTGAGTGAGTTTTAATTTTAATTTTATTTTTTTAAAGATATTTTATTTACTCATGAGGGAGAGAGAGGGGGAGAGACCGGGAGACGGAGATAGATAGAGGCAGAGACACAGGCAGAGGGAGAAGCAGGCTCCACACAGGGAGCCCGATGTGGGACTTGATCATGGGACCCCAGGATCACGCCCTTGGATGAAGGCAGGCGCCAAACCATTGAGCCACCTAGGGATCCCTGAGTTTTAATTTTTAAAATTCATTGAATTTTTAATGGCCTAATGAACATTTTATTTGGGTGTTTTTGAAAAGAATTTGTGGCTAACTACAAAGTCTAGTACCCATTAAATGCAATTTATCAAGTCTTTTTCCTTATTTTGAGTCTACCCTAATTTCCAAGAGAGATGTGCTGAGGATCCACAAGTCTCTTCTCTCCCAGTTTGCCTCCCCATCCACAATAATTGTACTTCTATTTTAGGAGCAGTAATTCTGAGTGGATTTCCCTCTTTGCATTGGCTGCTGGAGAGCCCCCCAGCCAGTTTTGGGATTCCTTCCAGCAAGTGCTAGATGGCTTGCTTTTTGTGTTTGTTGAGCTGGGGATTCATCTGTAATATTCTTTGCTTTTTTTCTACCCTCATTTTCATCTTTATGCTTCTGTCACTCCTCTAAATTTTAACCTATTTCAGTAGGGTCTTGTTTGCAAGACCCCTTAAGTCATTTTATTAAGCTGGATCTAAATCTTTTTTTAAAAAAAGATTTTACTTATTCATGAGAGACAGAGAGAGGCAGAGACACAGGCAGAGGGAGAAGCAGGCTCCATGCAGGGAGCCTGATGTGGGACTCGATCCCAGGACCCCGGGATTGTGCCCTGAGCCGGAAGGCAGACGCTCAACCGCTGAGCCACCCAGGCGTCCCCCAAAATACATTGTTAAAAAATATATATGTGTTCCTTAGTTGTTACAAATCTAATTAAATCACCTCTAAATTTTACTGGTGGAATATGCTATAATTTCTCTTGTTTTCAGTTACTGAACTATACTAGATGAGGCAGGGCATATGTATTCTATACAGAGTACAGGTTTTTTTTTTTTTTTTCCTTCTTACTGTGGGACTTTAGATGTATTCCGAGGCCTGTTCTATACTGGTAATTATATGCTCTTCTACTCTTGAGCTAACGGCTAAAAGAGGTATAACAACTCCATTAGTTTCTTGCTTGGATTCTATTAATATGAACTTATTAGACATAATTTACTGCTGAACCTCCTGAATGTAGGCAGTGTACTCTTAAGCTCAGCCCAGTTGTGTGTTTCCAAAATAGACTAGAACAACTACCCAGTAGTCTGAGTAACTTAGGGAATTTTGTTAAAACTCAGATGAATAATGCTTGAGAAAATGACCCACTTTGTGAGAAAATTACTTCCATGTCTTGAGATGTAAATACTGTATGCAAAAAGTACATCGTAGTAAGTTTTTTGGATTTACTGATTTCTCTCACGTATGTGAGATTTATTTTTTTGGGAACCCAATTTTGTTTTGGTCAATATGCCCAATATTTTCATATCCTCCAGTAGTCCACAGAAAAGTGAGTAAGGGGCAGAACTGTCTCCTGTACTTGGTATCCTGACTAAAACCTCCTGAAATGGGCTCCTGGGGAAGTGAAGTTAGAATATACATGCATTCTGGCTCACCACAAGTTAACTTGGAAGTCGGTGAAAACGAGTTTCTTTTTTCAAAACTCATTGAGCTACTTGTGTCACACGGCAACACAACATATAGGGGATGGTTCCTAACTTTTGGTCATGGATCTGAAACCATTCTGGAAATAAGGATGCTAATTCATGCGACAAATCTGCATACCTCTAGTGAAATCCTGCTGAAAAATTTTTCACTCATTTCATTTTTGTTTTTTGAGCTAGACACAACTCCGAAACAAGCTAATTCACGAATTGATGCACCCTGTGTTGAATGGAGAACTGCAGCCCCCGTCCGTTTCGGTGGAAGGGAGTGCCCTCTTAACCAGCGCTTCTAACTCTCTAGTGGCAGATTACTTACAGAGATGCGGCTATGAGTATTCGCTTTCTGTTTTCTTTCCGGAAAGTGGTTTGGCCAAAGAAAAGGTAAAATCCTTCCTTTTCTATTTTTGAATTTTCTGTTAACAGCTTTCTGCATAATAGCTGAGTATTCCTTCACTAGCAACGTCCGTTTCTCGGGCATCTCTGAATTCACGTAAATCTAGATCTCTAAACTGTGTTCTTACTACATTTAAATCTCTTCACATATTTCTATTCCTTGGGATTACCCAAGAGAAGTGAGGGATACAATAGCTTTTAAAAATTTGTGGACTACTCAAATAACTAAAACACCTGTTTTTACCTATTTTCTAATTTATGTTCAATAGTAATAGTGGAGAAATAGTCATACTTGATTATTTTAAAGGCTGGTATAGCAAACTTTGCCTATTTTTTTAAAATAGACTTAATTTTTTAGAGCAGTTGAGGTTCAGAGCAAAACTGAGCAGAAAAGAGGCCATCCCATATATTCCCTGCTCCCACTCATGCACAGCCTCCCCTACTAGCAACATTTTTTAATTAAATACTTGATTTTTTTTTTAAGAGAGGGAGGCAAGGAGGGGCAGAAAGAGGGAGAGAGAGAATCTTAAGCAGGCTTCACACCCATTGTGGAGCCTTGAGCAAGGCTCGATCTCTCATGAGATCGTGATCTGAGCTGAAATCAAGGGTTTGATGGTTAACCAACTAAGCCAACCACACGCCCCCATTATATACAGTTTTCCAATAGACCCTACATTGTCACACCTTACCACCTGTAGTTCATGGTTTATTTTTATTTATTTTTCAAAATATTTATTTGAGAGAGACAGAGCACACAAACGTGCATGCAAGAGAGCAGGAATAGGGGGAAGGACAGGAGAAGCAGACTCCCTGCTAAGCAGAGAACCCAATGTGGGTCTCGACCCCAGGACCATGACCTGAGCCAAAGGCAGAGCCTTAACCAACTGAGCCACCGAGGTGCCCCTAAAGTCCATAGTTTAACTCTTGGTGTTGTTACTGTATTTTTATTCCTTGTCTATAATTGACCAAAAGTTTCATATTCAGGAGTTTTAAGAAAATAAGAACAATGTTAGTATTTGAAAATTCAAATGTGCTGTATTTATTTCTTAACAACCAAATTTTCTTTATCAACATTAGGAATTCTTATTTGGTCCATCAGTCTTTAAGGTTTCTTCTGTTTTGTTTTTTTTAAAGTAAACTCTATACCCAATGTGGGGGTTGAACTCAACCTCAAAATCAAGAGTCAAATGTTCAGGGCACCTGGGTGGCTCATTTTGGTTAGGCATCTGGCTTCCCCTCAAGTCATGATCCCAGAGTCCTGGGATTGAGCCCCACATTGAACTCTGCTCAGCAGGGAGCCTCCTTTTCCCTTTCCCCGTACCCCCCACCATTGTGCTTGTGTAATCTCTCTCAAATCTTAAAAAAAAAAAAAAAAGTCACATGTTCTACCAACTGAACCAGGTGCCCCTAACTTTCCAAGTATGTTTTAGAATTTTGCTTATTGCATGAGTAATAGTGAATTACTTAGTTGTTACAGTAGTAGATAATCCAGTCCACATACTTCGTTTCTACTCTAAAATGCTGTGTAGAATATTTTCTTTAAAGGAAAACCATTTGAAAACCTATCAATGTTCTCTGGGTAGACTTAGTAAATAAGCATTATAGTATAAATATATATTAAGAATAGCGACCCAAAAATGTTTAAAACTATTTTGTGTATGCTTTAGTTATTCATTGTTGTAAAGACAATAAAACTTCATTTATATTTTGAAGCAATATACTTTAAAAACTTTCTTGCAGTTAGGAGACCCTGGAAATTATATATGTATTCATTGGTTCATCAGATATTTGTGTGTTTATAATCTATAAGGTATTAGCCATTTAGACATATTAGACGTATTCACTATGAAATATTTGGAGATTAATTAGGTGATCAAGAAAAATATTGGGCAGCCTGAGTGGCTTAGCAGTTTAGCACCACCTTCAGCCCAGGGCGTGATCTTGGAGACCCGGGATCAAGTCCCATGTCGGGCTCCCTCCATGGAGCCTGCTTCTCCCTCTGCTTGTGTCTCTGCCTCTCTCTCTCTCTCTCTCTCTCTCTCTCTCTCTCTCTCTCATAAATAAATAAATAAATAAATAAATAAATAAATAAATAAATAAAATCTTTTAAAAAAATTTATCCTTGTGACTTTAATATGTTAATAATATAAGAAAGTGCTTCAATTTTACATTATTAGCATGGTTATAAATTTTTAAATTTAATCCAAAGCATAATTGTCTTCAGAAGCCTCCTAGTTTATCATTTAAACACCGATGTAAAAAAGTCTAATTTTTTTTTTCTTTAAGGTGCTTACTATGCAAGATCTATTACAACTCATTAAAATCAACCCTGACTCCAGTCTCTACAAATCACTGGTAGGATTGTTTAGTTTTCATAATCTGCTTTGGTCTGTTAATTATAACTGAACAGTTGAATAAAGATGAAATATTTTCTTTTAACAGATCTCAGGATTTGATAAAGAAAACAAAGGTAGGAGCCTTCATCTTTATAAAATAAAAATAGCAAGATTTTTGTCATGTACTTTTTCCTGCAGAACTATGAAAGTAATAATCTTGAAGGGTATGAGTAGGGAATTTAATATGAATTTGATTTTTCCATGCTGTGACAGTACCTTACCTTTTTATCCTTTTTTTTTTTTAAATCTAACTTTTGAAAAAGATCTTAAGTAATCTCTACACCCAACATGGAGCTTGAAATCACGACCCTAAGATCAAGAGTCACATGGTCCACTGACTAAGCCAGCCAGGCACCCCAATACCTTACCTTTTTTTTTTTTTTTTTTTTTAAAGATCCATTTATTAGAGAACACAGGGGGAGACAGGAGCAGACTCCACACTGAGCAGGGGCACCACCCCTCTGATGATACGGGGCTTGATCCCAGGGCCCTGGGATCACAACCTGAGCTGAAGGCAGACATCCAATCAACTGAGCCACCCAGGCATCCCAGTACCTTAACTTTTAAATAAATAGAACAATTCATCCAATTTGACAATGTAAATCACTTCCCCACGTTTCATTCTTCTTAATTGCTCTTAGTTACTCAAAGAAGAGACAGAAGTTGTTAGAACCCTACAAATGATTTGAAAGCTACTTTTTGTAAAGACACCCATTGGGCAGCCCTGGTGGCGCAGCGGTTTAGTGCTGCCTGCAGCCCAGGGTGTGATCCTGGAGACCTGGGATCGAGTCCCACATCGGGCTCCCTGCATGGGGCCTGCTTCTCCCTCTGCCTGTGTCTCTGCCTCTGTCTCTCTCTGTCTCTCTCTGTCTCTCTCTGTCTCTCTCTGTCTCTCTCGCTCTCGCTCTGTCTCTCATGAATACTAAAAAAAAAAAAAAAAAAGACACCCATTGTTGGGAGCATTTCCACACACACAAATTAACAATGTTGAGGCTAGGTATCTTTGTATCCTACATCTCTCCCTCAAGTAGTTTACAGATTATTAATATTTGCTTAAAGAATGAGGTATCTGGTCAGTACTAAGTGTTAAATATATATATTTTTTATTAAGTATTTATGTGAGCCTGATAAATTGCTTTAATCTTGGCCTTGACAACCTTCATAGAGTCCATAACTGCCATGGGTGCCAGACCATGGGCTGGGCTTGATGATGGACTTTGTAGCATGAACTTAAACTGGTAACTTGCCTGTAATACATATTCTTTAGGTCTATTTTAAATAATCTATAACAATATATAGCAGCCCTTCTGTGTTGGTGTGCTCTTGGGTTTTGTTGCCAGTATTGCTACCATCCCCAGTAGGGCATTCATTTAGAACTTAGCATTCAGGGATCCCTGGGTGGCGCAGCGGTTTAGTGCCTGTCTTTGGCCCAGGGCGCGATCCTGGAGACCCGGGATCGAATCCCACGTCGGGCTCCCAGTGCATGGAGCCTGCTTCTCCCTCTGCCTGTGTCTCTGCCTCTCTCTCTCTCTCTCTCTCTCTGTGACTATCATAAATAAATTAAAAAAAAAAGGAACTTAGCATTCAGCAAACATTTGAGTACTTATTTTCTGCAACCATTAGTCTGTGACTTAATTACCTAGTCTCTTGGGAGTAATGTTACCAGAGGATGAGTAAATATGATCACAAGACCTTCCAGAGTACCTGCAGCATAGGACATCCAAATTGAACTTCAGTATGGTAAGTGGTTCTATATTCTGTATAGAATATAGAGGCAGTAGCATCTAATGTAAATTCCCTGTAATGATGGGAATGTCTATATCTGCTATCTGATGTAGTAGCCACTAGCCACATGTGACTATTAAACATTTGAAATGTGGCTAGTGTAACTGAAGAACTGCATCTTAGATTTTAAATAGCCACATATCATACTGGGCAGGACACAGATCTAAGGTGTAGATATATGTAGCTTAACTATTCTTTCAGAAGGAAACTTGAGGCCTAAAGGGATATTAAGAAATAATCCACTTACTGATATTTTATGTTATCTTTAAAAATAGTTTTTTGCCTTTATACACTCTGTTCAAATGCTTCTGGTTCAGAAAGACATGTGGTGAACAGCTCTTACCAGCCTTACCCAGCATCCTAGTGTAAGTTCTGAAATTCAGAAAAACTATGGATAGCAGGCATGTAGGCATCCTCATGGCAAGATTTGGGTAGAACTCTTTGCTAACACTAAAACAGCTATTTTTAAAATGAAATTAAAATTTTGTGGCTTCTGATTAAAAAATTGAGAACATTGGAAAATATGTAGGGAGATATATTGTACCTAACTGTTGTTTATGCCCTAACAGAGACCCGTAGTTTTATTTTATTGTATCTGTATTCAAGGGTGCTGAGTTGTTGAATGGCCATACTACTTTTCCCCTAGATTCCACTTACCCATCCTTTCCACCCCTAACTTTTCATAGATAATGCTGGAAAAAAAGCTGTGCAGAGAATTTGGACATTGGCTCCTTGTTTTCTGGAACTTAAAACCCTTATCTGTGATGGGTAAAAGAATAGCTACATATATCGGTGGGACAGAACGGCAAGCCCAGAAGTCAATCTAGACAAATACAGTTGACTTTTTTTTTTTTTTGAGTTTGACAAATTTATTGGTATTTTAGTAAAGACATTCATCTCAGTTGTTTCTCTCCCATCTTGACCTTAGGTTAATATTTCATTCGAGTCAAGAAAAGATGATGTAGGAAAGGGATGTTATTTTAACAAACAGTAAAATGGACAAAGTGGAAAGTTTGCCTACATTAAAGCAAGTTAAATTCATGTATCTTGATATAATTAAATCATGTAAGAACTAACGGTCCTATATACATTTCCATTGTTGGGGCTTACTCAAAACTTAAATGCAAATGAACAAAGTGTTAGGAGTATATACAGGCTGCTTCTCTGGAGTTATTACCTATTAAAAGAACTCAGCGAGTAGTTACCACCAATAAAATAGTCTGAAGCTGCCTCCGAATTAAACATTGCAGGAGTTTTCAAAGAAACCATTATACTCTGTTTCTTTTATCTGGGACTATGCTTTTAAAGATTTGTTTTAACTGTCACATTAAAAAATAATCCATATACAAAAATTCTAAAAAAATCCTACAATACATAGATCTAACAACGAATATGTGGTCAAAGAATCCATAAAATGCTTAAAGATGCATTTTCTTTTTAATCTTCAGTACCTAAAATGTGCTGTTGAGAGGCCATTGGTTAATATGTATACACTTCAAATGAACTGTTATTACTGTACTAAAATAAGAATTGTTGCATTAAGTTCAAATCAAATTCACTTTTACAAGTTAGTAACTTAAAGTAAACTTTAACAAAGTTACAGAAAGTGCATCTTTCTCATTTTCATCTTCACACAATGTTGCTTTTTTGGTGTTTCTACCTTTTAAAAATTAAAAACAGCCAAATATTTAAGTATTATGTACATTTAAATTTTTGGTGGTGGTTTGTATTTTAAAAGAAACAGCTTCCTTATGATTTGCCTCAAGATCTGGTGGAAATGCTTACAGGAACTAGCTAATAACAAAAACCAAGAGAAGCACATTCAAAATACTGATTTACTTTCGTAGCAAATGGTCTTTGAAGACTAATGAAGGTAGACAAGACCCGTTAAAGTGAAGTGGGCTATCTCAAATACACAACAATTTACATAAAAGTTCTTAAAAATTTTTTTAAATAGCTAAGCATCTGTACCAACCGATAGCAATGCAATACCTAGTTTATGATGACTTGAAACAAAACAAATGCCCATTAGGAAAAAGAAAAGCTGTATTTTATCTGACATACTTTCAGTCAATAGTTCAGTAACATTTTCCTCCCAATACGACACTCCCTCTCTATAAGGCTGTTCCTGGGAGCCAGACACTTTAGGTTAATAAGGGAGTTAAGACTAATTGCTTGCAGTTTAATAGACAATAACTTTTTGCGTCCCTCTTAATGTGCTAATAGTTGTGTCTAAAAAAATATGCAATTCTTAGAAAGGTTTTTTTTATTTTTTGATTTTTTTATTATCTGTAACCTTTGGAAACTAATCACATGAAACTACAAAATTAGCAAATGTCTTGAAATCTGTATATAAAACATAAATTACCTCTAATTTCAAACTCATTTATTAGTGTACCACTCAATCTTTAAAAAACAAAACAAAAAGGCGGCTCCAAAGATAGTCTTATACCATTCTTTAAAAAAGGAAACTGTTCCTTTTAACTTTACACCCACCCCACACCCCAATTTCAAAACACATCATTTAATTGTCTTGGTCATGGACATTTCCAAGATGAGATTTTATATTTTGCTCCCATAGCTTCTGGTTATCAGAAAAACCATGCTTTCCTTTATTGAAGGAGTTTGGTCCTGCTGATGTTGGTGTATCCCTTCCAATATTCTTCATCCGCATCTTTGCTTCTGGCGGCATTTCCTCTGGTTCACTATCTTCATCTTCGTTAAAAGCTGCTGCTACTGAAAGGGTTTTTGGAGCAAGCATTGGAACAGTTTCTTTAGGCTTACTTGATCCAAGTTTGATGGATATGGCTGAGGCTTGCTTTGTCGTCTGACTACCTATGGCAAATCCAAACTTGGAGATCTTTGTAGGCTTTGTTGGGACGTCTGCAGCTGCTTCTTTAGCCGATCGCTTCTCAGCGCTGCGACTGGAACATTCCCCTCCATTACTCTGGCGGCTCCAGCTCGCTGCGGTTTCTCGGGCTTCTCCTCTCCCGCCTTCCTGTCCGCCATTTTCCCCGCCGCCAATACAGTTGACTCTTGAGTAACATGGGGGTTAGGGGCTCTGACCCTCCCAACCATGTCCATTACGCAGTCAGAAATCCATGTAGAATTGTTGACTCCCCAAAAACTACTAGCCTGTTGACTGGAAGCCTCACTGATAACATAAACTGTCAACAGATATTTTGTGTGCTAAATGTATTATATACCGTACTCTCAGAGTAAGCTGGAGAAGAGAATGTCGTTAATAATTAAAATGAAGGGCAGCCCGGGTGGCTCGGCGGTTTAGCGC